GTGCACTTAAATAATAAATATAAAAAAAATATACAAAACGCATAAATATATATAATATACATTTTCATATTGTAAAAGTTGTTATAATTAAAAAAAAAATTTCTTGCGAGGCTCGAACCCGCAAAATTCGGACTATGAATCTGACACTCTGCTGATACGCTACGCACTCTTCGATTTAAGGTCTTACTTTGCTTATATCAAACTGAAATTTTTTAATGTTTTTATTTTGCAAACGGTTGAGAAGCGCGTCTTATCCATTTACAGGTATTCATTTTATATGCTACCCAAACGATACACTGAGTTTCGGCTAAATCGATTGATATCACACTGTAACTTCCCCTTGTTAGCTATTATCATTGTTTCCGGGCAATGAACAAACATTAATATGTGCACCTTATCTAAAATAACAAATAACCAAATATTCAGGTATTATTAGTGATTTAGGGCAGAACTGTCCACGTTTTGCACATTTCGGCCGATTTCCGTTAGTCAACGCCTATCGCCTCCCACTTACGTTTCGAGATCTTAACAACGAGTCAGCTAATAACCGTAATCAAGATGCGCGACACTTTATTTCAGGTATGGCGCATCTATAACGCGATGCCGTTTCCTACGCCCCGTCTAAATGTCAATATTTTATTATTAATGTAATTAATAATCAAGAATTGAAACTTTGTTATACATTTTGAGTTAATTATCTAAAAAGATTTTAAAGAACTCGCGTATTTTTTTAAAGTATTAACATTTGGCAGACGTTATATATGAAAGTTCAAATTCTAATGAACATTTATTTCTTTATCGTAACATTAGTATATTTCCTTGTTTTTATTTTTTTTTATTGATGTATGTAATTCATTTAATCTTGTATGCTCCTCTTAAAGGCATTTTTGCCTTTTACATTATTATGTATATATAGAAAATAAAATAGATGAGTAGATTAAATGAATTACATACATGAATAAAAAAAATAAAATCAAGGAAATATACTAATGTTACGATAAAGAAATAAATTTTCATTAGAATTTGAACTCTCTTATCTTGTGAAATTGGTATCGATATGTACATCATTCTAATGACAGAGTCAAGCCTCTTAGTCAAGTTTTCTTATGCAATTTCACTGATAAATATATCTTATCTAAGCTATACGGGCGAGCCTCTAGTAACGTCAAAGCGCGTACATGCATATACATGTATGTATATGTGTATATATATGAATATGTTCTGTTATTTCTGATTTGCCATTCCCGTGTTTATGATTAAGAAATAAATACGAAATATTATACGTATTGACATACATAGTTCTTGAAAAATTTTAAAATTTTCAGTGATCAAAACATTGCTATGTATACATGCTAAGTATAAGTAGAATGACATAAAATATTTGAATTTATTGAACATTTAAATATAATAACTTTTTTGATAAGGACCACAATCATATGGTCGAAACGTCGTATTGAATAAATTATATTTCTGGCTAGTTTGGTCGACTACACAATTTCATTTAACCTTTAAATATAATAACTTTGCACGTATTTTTTATATTACTAAATCATTATATTACTGAACAATTTATGTTTATTTAATATCAGACACGTTCTTAAAAACATTTTTTTAAAAAAAGTTGCACGCTATTTTTTCCATATTATAAAATATATGACCTTTTCAATATTTTTACGTACATTTTATATTTATATTTATATTTATATTTATATTTATAGTTATATTTATATTTGTATTTATATTTATATTTATATTCATATTTATATTTATATTTATATTCATATTTATATTCACATTCATATTCATATTCATATTCATATTCATATTCACATTCACATTTATATTTATATTTAAACTATTTTATACTTTATATTCTATTAAAAATTATATTATATATTATATATGAAATAATTATTTATAAATTTGATATATTTTTTTTAAATCGTATAGTTAATGTATAAGTTTATATTTTGCATAAATCATGATTTATGCAAGATATAAACACAGTTATATCCATAGCTTGTGAAACTTTGAACTTTGTGCATCATGTAACCGTTACTAACAAAGACTGACTGGTCATAATCTCAATATATCATATATGTATACAGTGCCTACCAAAAATTTCGGGACAGTCGAATATTTCATAAATTATGCACTTTAGAAAGAAATGTTTCAGACAAAAGTTGTATGGCTTGAAGGAAGCCATCAAATAGTAACAATGATTTGACCTTGGAGAGTCATTTGAAAGTCACGTGAAGGTCACTGTCAATTTCTTAAATGGAACTTCCTATTTTTTATTACATATTCGTGCAGCTTATTTCGAGAGCTTTCCAAAACACTATAATAAAGTATTTCTTCATTGAGTACTTTTCGAGTTATGAGAATTGAAATAATTTCTTAATTTTACATGAACCGTAAAATATCTTGTTAGATAGATATTCACTTTCGATTACCTCACCTTAATACTTTTATGTACAAAATAATGAGAGGAATCAACTGGTGTAAAGAAAACGCATAGTTATTTTTTAAAAGAAATATGTAACTGTTAATTGCAAATTACATATATTTTTTTTTTAAAACAACTATATTTTTTCTTTACCAATTGATTCCTCTTATTATTTTGTAATAAAAGTATTAAGGTAAGATAATCGAAAAATGAATATTTTACTAGATATTTTATAGTTAATGTAAAATTAAAAAATTATTTCAAGCCTCATAACTCAAAAAGCACTGAATGAAGAAATACTTTATTACAGTATTTTGGAAAGCTCTCGACGTGAGCTACTAGAATATGCAATAAAAAATAAGTAGTTCTATTTAAAAAAGAAATTTGAAGGTGACCTTCACGTAATCTTCAAACGACTTTTCAAACCAATGACATCATCTTATGGCTCTCTTCAAGTAATACAACTTTTGTCTGAAACATTTCTTTCTAAAGTGCATAGTTTATGAAATATTCGATCGTCGAAACTTTTGGTAGGCACTGTATATAGTATTTTTTTCCAGAGTTATAGTCCGTAGTCCATCTACTGTCTGGACGCGATAATTACATATACAAATCCGATGTCTTGCTATAAAAGATCTAATGAGATGATAATACCAATTCACGTTTTTATTAAAATAATAAAGCAAACTCACGTTTGTGTACACAGATATACATTTTTGTTTATTTATCAATATATATATATATATATATATATATATATATATATATATATACATATATATATTTATATTTTTGCTAAAATAATTGAGTAATTACAAGTAACTAGAACGGAATATTAATAATATAAAAAATCTCGGTGTAACAAGTCAACTTGCATAATACGCTAATATGTTATCGTTAAAAAATTAATTGAAAAGATAACAGAAATCACTTCTTTCACGTTCGAAATACATAGAATAAATGATGCAATAAGATTTAAAATTTTCTACATGTATGTCTTTTATATTCAAGAAATATATATAATATATATATGTCATTATATATATTTCTTGAATATAAAAGACACACATGTAGCAAAAATTTTAAATCTTATTGCATCATTTATTCTATGTATTTCGTACGTGAAAGAAGTGATTTCTGTTATCTTTTCAATTAATTTTTTAACGATAGCATATTAGCATATTTTATGCAAGTCGATTTGTTACACCGAGATCTTTTATATTATTAATATTTCGTTCTAGTTACTTGTAATTACTTAATTATTTTAGCCACAATATAAATTAAACAAGATATTAATTTTATTTCACGTGCATGAAGAAAGATTTAATATTTTTAATACGTATTTTTACAATCTTACAATTGTACAAGAAAAAGAGAGAAAGAAAATGAGAAAAAGCGCTTATAAAATATTTTGAAAAGCCGAAACGATCTATTTTCTTATTTATTTTATAATAACATAATTGAAAATATGCATATATACATCATATTTTTTATACGTATAAGTTTAATCGACAAATAGATAAAATTTACACAAATTTGTTTAAATTTTTATGTAAAACATATAAATATGATATAATTAATAATATACCCTTAGACAACTACTTAATTATTTAATTTGTAGATTTAATTCTCTCTTATTTAAAAATCATAATTTTTTCTTGTGTCTTTTATACTTCTTTTCACATTGAAGCATGTAATATTAGATTAATATTTTTTTCTATAGATAAAGTACTCTACATATGCATACAATTTCATTCATTCACCTATACCTCTCTCCTCCTCTTACACACACACGCGCGCACACCCACGCTCACACACACACACACACACACACACACATATATTTTTCATATATTTTTATCATATAACATAAATTACAGTTGTAATATTTTCTTCTACATTTCTACTTTATTCTGATTTTAAATAATTTTGAAATCAAATAGATATATTGTATTAAATCGGAAAACATCAGTTAAAAATGTATTTTACAAAAAATATAAAATATGAAATTGTAAAAGTAAATAAAAAATTATTTTTAAAAATTATAAAAAATATAAATTTATTTTTGACAAATTATTATATAATTTCTTATAGAATTATTATTATAATTATTATTGTATAATTATTTTTAAATGTCTATTATTATTGTTTTTCATATATCTTTATCTAAATTGATAAATCTTTATATAAATCTATATCTTTATATAAATTGATAAATAGAAATATATGTGCGTGTATGTCAAATATATATATTATATGTATTTGACACACACACGCGCATAATATGTGTGTGTGTGTGTGTGTGTGTATTATATGTGTATGTATGTATGTATATATATATATATATATATATATATATATATACTTTTAACATATATATAAATGTATTGACTATCAAAAACTCTATGTTACATGTAGTAAATGTGACTTTCCGATAACGGTATTATAATCTTGATGCTATAATTCTTTCCGACAAAAGTGACATATATATCTTCTACTTGTAAACACGAGTATTAAGTAAAATTCTTCTATGGATCTCATTATTACTTATCAATGTTTTGCACGGAACGCTGAACGCTCTCAAGTATCCGAATAAAAGACACGATCTTTCCATCGAAGCCGGATAATTGTGCAAAAGTGGATTGCGGATAGTGGTCTTACTTGTTTGACGGACGGTAAATAAGTCATTCACGCGAAACAGATAGCGGAAAGTCGATAGGCAAGCGTATAAAAATAAAAAAGTGAGAACGGCTTTCGGTATAAAATTCGTCCGTTCGACCGATTTCGATTTAATACGAATCTAATTGCCATCGAATAATTTTCTTGAAACAGCATAGATTATTAAGGATATAACGTGAGACATTCAAAAACGTGTCAGCTAATTCTTAGTCGCAATTATCGTTTTTATAAGATTGTCTGAGATGTCATAATTTCGCTCCCCACTATTAACTGGAAATCTAATGAAGTGAAACTCTCCTTATCAACCAATTAAATAAAAAATTACTAGGAATCGCCTACAAACAAAATACATTCAGTTATCGTATATAAAGCCAGAATTTTGACAATATGCTGTCCAAGCCCTTTTGCAACAGCTGGAAGAATCTGACGAAAATGTCGCGACGATCTGACAGTAAGAAGAGTTTCTTCAGATATTTCATTGATGGCAATTCGCTCAACTTAACTTCGATTCATTATCCGAAGATTAATCGTTTTGTGCATTTCTTCGCATCAACTGTACTTACGATCGAAAAAGGCAATAAGATGCTGCATGCTGTGGATATTTGTAATTCACAGTAAGTATACTTCTTTTTTTAGTCTTTTTTCTTCTACTCTCTTTTCTAGTCCTTAAGTACATATCATATAAAATAGTATAATATATTGTAAAAATAAAACAAAACAATAACACTCTTTAGGAAAGAGAAAAATCTCTGTCAACTTTTTGACAAATAATTTAATAGAATTAAAATAAATTTGATTTCAAAGAAGAATCATTCTACATTGATTTGAATAGGTATAGACAGAAGAAACATTATTAATTTATATAATTCGAGTTGATTTTATCTATTATCTTTTTGTCTTTCGAAGAATGTAATATATATTAATTTTTTAGATTCTTTCGTTGACATGATATTGAATGTCAGAAAGTAAAAAACAGGTGAACTTTTTCTGTTGTAACATATTTACATTATAATATAAATAAGATATGCCTAAGATTCTTTTTTTAATAAATTAATAAATATTTATCGAGTGTCATGAAGTTTATTTTCGCATATGTAAAACACATACAGATTAGTTATATATGCATTTATTAATACAGAATGACATAAAACAATGTTTTCAATATATTTTATTAATAACACTATCAAACACGAGACTGATGGCATACAAAAAAATACTTGTTTATTTCGATATATTTCGCAAGAAAAAAACAATTTTTCGCTTCTGATATTATAATTCAATATGATTGCAATCAGAACACAAGAGCTTTAAGTCTTGTTTGTGCTCGACGTCATATATTTCGTGTTCAGTCACATAACTCATCAGAGAGAGATATAAATCCAATTCTCTCTAAATAATGGTAAATAGGAATTTTTCCTAAATCATACATTATTAATATATGTTATTTTCGTAATATCGGAAATTTCTTTTAAATTTATTACATATAAAAGCTCTTCCTTTGAAAAAAATAAAGAAAAATTACTATAAGAGAATTTGAGTTTAAATTTTTATTATGATTTTTTTTATTATAATGATATTATTTTGACTCAAACATATCAAACGACTCGAACATATCATACTTTTTAGCTTTTTCTATCTCTGAATGATATGAATAAATAATATATAAAACTGAATATTTAAATTAATAAAGTAATAAATTGAATCTGAAAAACAAAATTCGAAAATATTGTAAGTGAAGAACTTACGATTACAGTGGAATTACTTGTAATTCTAATATTATTGATCTTATTATAAAGTCATTGATATTTTCTTATTTTAATGTTTTTATTAAAACTTGAATGTGTTTTTACCAGCTGATGAAATATAATAGGTGAGAATATTAAGATTTAACTAAACTTTATTATACTTAATGTAACATGATTAATGAACATGAAACTATCAAAAAATAATAATATTTAATTATATAACTAATTAAGCAATGCGATAGCATATTATTCCATCAAGTAGAACTGAAAGAACCGAATGTGAGAATCGTTGAGAGTCACTGCTTTCGATCGAGGCGCTATCAAGTAGCTTATCTGAAATTTTATGTTAAATAAACTTACAATTAAAATAACCTCATGAGAAATAAGGCCATAATAAAAAATTTAACAATATTTTTCTAATATAACAGATGCAAAATTTCGATTGTGACCAGTTTGAATAAAATTTATTTAAATAGAATTAGCAATTCTGAGATATGGTAATCGTGTTTACTAGAATTGTGACATTTCAATGTTATGATTTATGATTGTAAGGATGCTCAATGCTTTAAAAAACACGATCTTTTTAAAATATATACAGGGTCTTCAAAAAGTTCCGGAACGTTAAAATATCTCGAAAACGATTAATTATAATGAAAAATATGTAAGGAACAAAGTTGTAGGATTAAATAAAATGTACCTAATGATGATAAGAATTTGAACTTGGATGAAGTACTCAAGGTCATATGAAGGTTAAATTGATTTTTTTAAATGGAACTCCCCATTTTTTATTATATTCTTGTAGCTTATTTCGAGAGCTTTCCAAAATGCTATAATAAAGTATTCATTGAGTACTTTTCAAGTCATGAGGCTTGAAATAATTTCTTAATTTTATATAAACTATAAAATATCTAGTAAAATATTCATTTTTTGATTATCTTACTCCTTAATACTTTTATGTACAAAATAATGAAAAAAATCAATTGATGTAAAGAAAACACATATTTGTTTAGAAAAATTAACTGTTAATTGCAAATTACATGTTTTTCTTAAGAACAACTATTATACTATTATTATAGTTTTTTAAATATTATAGTATTAGTTTTTTTACACCAATTGATTCCATTATTTTAAACATAAAAATGTTAAGGTAAGGTCATCGAAAAATAAATATTTTAGAAGATATTTTATAGTTTAAAAAAGAGATATTTTATAATATAAAATTAAAAAATTATTTCAAATTCAAAAAAAAAAAAAAAAATTATTTCAGATATTTTATAATATAAAATTAAAAAATTATTTCAAATTTCACAACTCTCGAAAAATACTTAATAAAAAAATACTTTATTATTGTATCTTGGAAAGATAAGCTCTCAGGATAAGTTATAAGAATATACAATGAAAAATGAGGTTAAAAAAATGACCTCCATATAACTTTGGCGCATTGACCCAAGATCAAACCAATGATATCATCTTATAAAGTAATAAAACTTTTGTATGCAACATTTTTCGTTATCTTGTTTAATAATAATATATATATTATATATAATAATATATATTATATATATATATATATATATATATATACATATTTTATTTTAATTGCCACAGGCTGTATATATATATGTATATATATATGGCTGTATAAATATATATATATATATATATATACATATATATATATATATATATATATATATATATATATATATAGTGTCCCATCTAGAAGTGGCCATCCCTTTTTATCTTTTAAATTAAAAGAAATAGACCATAACAAATATATATGAAATTAAATGGCTTGAACTGAACTTTATTGTGAGTATAGTGATTGATTACAAAATTTATCTGTATTGAAAAATGGAGAGATATGCATAATTCTTTTATAATAATGTAGATATTTTAATATAATAAAAGTTGTAGCGCTGCTTGAAACGAATATAACGATGTATGATTTAATGTATATATTTTACATATTATGGTTTTCCGGCTTGAATAATTGCGGGCGACATCCACCATTTCATTTTCGGCCCTGCGATATAGCCAACTTCTGACTCGTGCATTAGAGGTTGACGTATGTCATGTTGTCATTTAATCATGATACTTAGTGTACGAAAAATATAAATAGAAAACTTATGAATCAATATAATTATGGGACATTTAATAAATTATATGACACATTGGCATAAACCACACAAACTTTGTAAATAACAAAGTAGCTTTTTTTTGTGAAATACTTTTTAATAAACATAAAATTTTGATAAATCATAAAACAAATAATTTTTAAAAATTGTGACTTTAACATAATTTTTATTATTAATATTTTAATTAAATTATTAAGATTAATAAACGCGTATACATATTTATTTATTTTAGACATAATATAATATTTTAGATATAACATTTTATAGAACACACTTAACGTTTTTATAATAATTATGTACAAACATAATTTATATTTTTCGTACACTGAGTATCATGATTAAATGACAACATGACATATGTCAACCTCTAATGCACGAGTTAGAAGTTGGCTATATAGCAGGGTCGAAAATGAAATGGTGAACGTCGCCCGCGATATTTCAAGCCGGAAAATCTCATATAATATGTAAAATATTTACATTAAATCATACATCGTTATATTTGTTTCAAACAGCGCTACAACTTTTATTATATCAAAATATCTACATTATTATAAAAAAATTATGCATATCTCTTCGTTTTTCAATACAGATAAATTTTGTAATTAATCACTATACTCACAATAAAGTTCAGTTCAAGCCATTTAATTTCTTATATATATTATATATTTATTACAGTCTATTTTTTTTTAGTTTAAAAGATAAAGAGGGTGGCCATTTCTAGGTGGGACACGTATATACACACGTATAGGGTATTTAATAAAGATTGAATCAATCTTCGTGAGTGGGGGGAGGGGGGAACACAGTAAATAGATTAAAAATTCCTTTACAATTTTTACAATAATATTAAAATATTAATTAAAATACATTGACAAATACATGCGTTTCATGCAGCTAATCCATATGTGCTCTCGACATGTCAATAGCGAGTGTCGCACGAAACGAAAAGACAAGAGTCAGAGCACGGCTTTCATTGCTACTCGTCACTGGCATACCTAGAGCACACATTTCACAATATAACCGTGCAAAACGCACGATCATTCGTCAGTTCTTTTTATTATACATATAATTAATATTTTAATAATTATTGCGAAACTTGCAAAATAGTAAAGAACTTTTCTGTTCAATTTATTATGATCTACTTTCCCACGAACGTTGGTCCAATCTTTATCAAATCCTGTATATACAAACTGTTTCATTTTAACTTAGATACCGTAATATTTCGAAAACAAAAAAATGCGTTTTCAAAAAAATGTTGCAAATAAAAATATTATAATTTATAATTAATATTATTGGGTTTAATTATAGGGTTTGGAGGAAGAAAAAAGAAATATTATTTTGGGTGTAGGAACTAAGATCAAGTGAAGGTTAACCTAGTATTTTTAAATGGGGCTACACTAATTTATCTATATAAATCGATTCTTCCTAATATTACATGTAAAAAGTTATAAGTATAGCCAAAAATTAAATAGTTTACAAGATATTTTACACTTTAAGTTGACATAAATTTACGCAAACTATAAAATATCTCATAAAATATTTATTTTTCGATTATCTTATTTCAATACCAATGCATTCTAGTTATTATTCAATTTGTACTATCAAATTATTAACTAATTATTGACCATAAAATAATAATCAAAATATTTTGACCTTTGACTAGACATAAACTAGTTATCATTTATGATTCGTTTTGCCTAGTTTCTGGCTATTTTTCGTCTGCAAAATGCTTTTTTAACAACGTTTGCTATTAAAAATTTAAATTACCTACTTATTAATTAGCATGGCTATCTAAATAGGATTTTATCTAAAACAGAATTTTTTTACCGAGTCGTGAACAGTAAATCCAAAATATTAAAAACAGACCATAGTTACTGAATTATAATCAGTTCTTTCCCGAACATTTTTTCAGTTGGGTGACTTTAGTTCTGATTCATTAGCCAGATTCTTAAGTTACAACGATATCGTTCAATCAAATATTTTTTCCTGAAGAAAAAATTAAATATAAATTTTAAAGAAACTTTTAAAGAATAGTTATTGACAAAAAGAGAAAAAGAGAGAGAGAGAGGAAGAGAAAGTACGACAAATGAATAAGATAATATATTTGCAATGTATTTTTATTAGCGCAACGTTGTATTTATAAATCATGTACTTATATATATATTTTTTAGAATGTCAAAATTTATTGTAACTCACGCCGCGAAAGATCCAGTAATTAATAATGGATATGATTATATTGGTAAAGTACCGTTACTAAACGCATGCACGATAAAAATTTCATCGAAACTTCGCCATTACATCGAAGAATGTGCCTCGCTTTGCTGTCCTAAAGATATTTATATATGCAATGGTACAGACACTGAATATATGCAAATGCTGAAAATTCTCCAGAAAACTGGAACTATCGAGAGCTTGCCTAAATATGAAAATTGGTGAGTACTTTATATTTATTCGCTACAATATTTCATTGTATTATATATTTTTGTTAAATTTTAACTTTCTCGTTTAATCAAATTTAAGGAATTAATAGTCAAAATGAGAGCTTTTACAAACTATTCTTATAACACATATTTCTTATAACATTGATTATCTTTTTCACACACACACACACACACACACACACACACAGCAGAATAAAGTTGAAATAAACACTAGTTACATATTGATAACATTAGTTATATATTATATTTTTATACTAAAAAGTAAACAAAAATTATAACTATTTAATTTTTAAATACGCATTTTCGTGAAAAATGTTTTATATGAAAATTGTAGGGTTTTAAGTGACGCATTACATAACAATACCAGTATGACCCTATAATTTATATGAAATTAAGGAATTATTTCAAGTCTCAAAAAGTACTTAATAAAAAAATATTTTATTATAGTGTTTTGGAAAGCTCTTAAAGTAAGTTATAAAAATATGTAATAAAAAATGGATGTTTAAAAAGTTCAAAGTAATATTCACATGACCTTGATGACGCGTTTAAAGTCATGGTATAGCTATGTAATGCGTCGCTTAAAACCCTAAAACTTTACTTTTGTATGGAACATTTTTTACGAAAATGCGTATTTAAAAAAAACTGATAAGCTGATAGAGCTGATCGCTCTAGAACATTCTGTATACGTTACAAAATGTAATAAAATGATTTACCACTGTTATGCTAAACGTTAGTAGCATATAGAAAACACTCAGAGGATCAATTTTTGTCGTTTAAACATGGGAAATGCATAGTGTTATGATGCTATCACTTTGTTACGCTCAAAATATGTGAATATAAATACGATCGTAAAGATCATCGTTAAATAATAAAAGTTCTAACTTCATAATTTGTAATCATTTAGAATTCAAAACAGACGTTAATAATTATTGCTGTTCTTTCAGCAAAATAACAAAAACTGTTGGAATTCCTAATAGATTTCATAGATTCCTTATCTGCCGAGCCACTGCCTACAATGAAGCTGGGGGTCACTATTACGAGCATTTATTGTAGGACTAATTAAAATAAAAGCAATTTGTCGAATATCTTCACGGTTGGTTGTGTTTTTATGTTCATACGTTTCGAGCACGCGCGACGCCATGCAATCAAATATAACACAATAATAACTCTATAATTCTATAATAACTCTATAATAACTCTATAATTATGTATTTCATGTTTATAGCCAAATTTGCCTTTAGATATCCTCTATATAATATAAACATTTGGTACAATAGTGGTAAATCATTCTGTTTATTTAACATTCCATATTAAAAAAAAGAAAATATATACAGGTTCGGAAATTCAACGACAAATTTTCAGAGATTGTCGGGGGCATCATAAGAATCATTTTTTGCAAATGAACTTGGGAACTCGGAAACGTATCATTACGCTACGGCGTACAGAGTGTTCGAAAGAGTCGGGACCTCGAAATATCACAAAAAATAGAAGTTTTACAAAAAATTGTTTCAAACAAAAGTTGTAGGATGTAAAAAGATCTATTTACTGGCGCCATGTGTTTGACCTTGGATGGCGTCGCCAAGGTCACCTTGAATTTTTGAAATGGAACCTTCTATTTTTTATTGCATTCTTGTAGTCCTTATCGAGTCTTATTCAAAGTACTAATTTTACCAACTTTAAGTAAGCTGTTTCGAAGTTATTGAAGTTATAAAGTTTTCCTGATAAGTCGATGACTGTAGTTATCGTATTATTATCCACGAATAAAGGTAGAAGTGGTAAATGATAGTGGATCTACTTTTATAACTGACCTATGCGTATGATATTTTGGATCATTTTTTATTAGAGATATTCGAGAATAAAAACCAACTTACCATGAAAAGTTCGATAATTTCGAAACGACTTACTTAAAGTTGGTAAAATTAGTGCTTTGAAAAGGTCTCGAGAAGGGCTACAAGAATATGCAATAAAAAGTAGAGGATTCCATTTCAAAAATTTAAGATGGCCTTGTCGTAACCTTGGCGACGCTATCCGAGGTCAAACACATGGCGCCAGTAAATAGACTTTTTTATACCTTTTATACCCAACTTTTGTTTGAAACAATTTTTTGTAAAACTTCTATTTTTTGTGATATTTCAAGGTCCCGACTCTTTCGAATACTCCGTATGCCGTAGCGATGTAATGATACGTTTCCAACCACAAGTTCATTTGCAAAAAATGATTCTTATGATGCCCCCGATAATCTCTGAAAATTTGTCGTTGAATTTCCGAATATCCTATATACATAAAATATATGAAATATCTAAAATTTTTTAAAATTTACTTTTCGATGATTTCATCTCTATACTGGTCTATAATTTAATGAGAAACATAATAATTAAGATTCATATAATAATTAATTAATTATCATATAATAATTAAGATATATATTATATCAGATATTAAAATCACAGAATTTTCAAAATATTTAAAACTTACTGATTTGTTATGTTTGTTTATTCTTTCCAATTGGAAATGTTTATTTGGTAAATATTTATCTTTACACAGCCAGCTTCAAAAGACTTGACCTTGGCATATATTAGCAAGGTCCTGAATAACATCCAAAAGTCATTGGTCGTTGTTTATTAAAAAAATAAACAAAAGAAGTTTTATAAATTTTATAGAATTTTTGAACATCATGTACAATAATAGACCTTTCAGATAAATATGGAGAAAAGGTTCATACTTTTATGTCATTTTTTCATTATATCCTATTTATGTTTTACATTTTTTGTTTACATTTGCTCATCACGGTTTTATAATATATTGTACTTGTGTGTTTATATTTTTTTGTTTATGTTTGCTCGTTGTCCCTTCCATGTCGCTAAACTATAGAAGTATTGTTTAGTTTCGTTAAATAAAAATTGTACTTTTTATTTTACTTAAACTTTTAGTAAGTGTTTATATATAACTTCCTTCATTTTGCGAAGTACATGCATGAACACCGCATGTTGACCCGCATGTGAACCCAACCTGTGTCTGAAGTGTAGGAAATATCTTGATATATGATATTTTGCTTTACATGGTTCATATGGTTTATATAAGTTTGCAATTTTCTAGTTTGCAAAGCCAGGTATATTTCATACTTCAGACACGGGTTGGGTTAGGTAATATCTTCCGAAAGTGGAGCCCCCCGTAGGGGGAGAGGGGCGAAACATGCGGTGTCCATGTATGTACTTTGCAAGACAAAGCAAAGTTTACAAATACATATATTCTATTAAATATATGTATTTCTTCTTGAACATACATGATGTGGTAAAATTATATTCTATTCATGAAACTCCTTTTGTTAATAACTATTTAATAAATAACAAGCGGCTAAAACCTTTTGAATATTCAGAAAGATGACCACGGGAAATGTAAACAGAAAAATATAAACATATTTAGAATGTAACGAAAAGATGATGACAAGTATAAAATTTTGAAAATCGCATATCTCAGGAACGAGGAGAGACCGCTACAAAATTCATACGGTGTATGACTCAGAATAATGAGCTTCACAACATATGTTAAGGTCAAGGTCATTAGTGAGCTTTTCTCCATATTTATCTGAAAGGTCTATTATTGTATGATGCAAAAGTTCTATAAAATTTATAAAACTTCTTTTGTTTATAACTTTTTAATAAATAACGAGTGACGCCTTTTGGATGTCACTTAGTGATCTTGATAATATATGTCAAGGTCAAGTCATTTGGGGCTAGTTGTGTAAAGGTAAATATTTAAAGTTTATTTTTTTTAATGTACAACAGTTGGCTAGCAAAAACTAATCCTGCGGATGTGGCACGCATCGAAAAACGTACATTCATCTGCACAGATTTAAAAAGCGACACTATTCCTACACCACGTAAAGGTATAATTGGAGAACTTGGAAATTGGATCTCTCCGAATGACATGGAACAAGCTATCTTAGAACGGTTTCCAAACTGTATGAAGGGTCAGTAGTTTTATTGCATTTTCGTAATTTGTTATTGAGATGCGCGTATTATATGAATTATGCAAGATGTTTCAAAACAATCTTCCTATATTTTTAATTTTATTAGAATATCCAATTTAAAGCACTTTTAGAATGAAACATCAAGCCATCAATAATTTTCAAGTTGGAAATGATTGAAAAAAAGGAGCGTTTTTCGTAAATTTAATTTTGTGAAGCTAAAAAATTTATGAAAATATATTTTTTAATTAATTTCAAATAACGTTTACTTTAATAAAATTTTAATTTAAGGTTTAATTGTAAAAAAATTTTATAAAAAAAATGTATAAAAAATGGTGGCCTTTTTTAATATTATCATTGAAAAAAAAACGACTACAAATTAATCATAGTATATACTATTAACAACTATTGATTTTTAGATATTTTATATATGAACAATATATATATATATATATATATATATATACAGGATATCCCTGAACACTATCACGCACTTGTGAGGAGATAGAGAGTAGTAAATTAAATAAAGAAGTCCTATACCGTTTAACGATTTTCCCAATAATAATAGAAATATTAATTATTAAAATTAGACAAATGAGAGAAGCGCTCGACCACTCGAGCTATAGCATGGCCCACCGTGTCAAACATTGTCTGCCGCCGCGCGACAAGGGGAGAGATAGCGCGCTGCTACACGTGGTTACCGCCATCGCCATTTTCATATTTCGCCGCTTTAGCATTACGTTCGTGAGTAAGCCCCATCCACTGTGTGGGACGACTTTTCTCGCTATGCGCTTCTTCTCACGTGAATTCCGCCGATCCTCTTTAATTAATATCTCGAAATTTTACGTGGTTGTTTGTAAAATGGTATAGGACTTTTTAATTTGATTTAACGAGGTCTATTTATAGTTTTTTTTGACAGATGATACCATAACATACACACACACATATATGATATGTAACTGAGAAAGTGCCCACGGAGCAAATAGCGTTATTCCTGATTAAATATTGAGTCAAAAAGTCCTGAATCATTTCTTTCTTTAATGCTTAATAAAGCGGTAATTATTGAGTAAATTGCGCCAATAAACACCAATCTTTAGCTTCCTTGCTGAAATTTTCTTTATGGAAATGCTTTTGACGGAAGAAATATGATTTTTAATGCCAAATAAAGTTTTTCGCATTATTATAACACATAAGAATATTACACGATAGTGGCATGACATAGCGCCATAGCGGCAGAGCGCTCATGCACACTATCAGGCGTGCAGCTCACTGACATGCACCCGGCTAAAGGTCGGCTAAAGGTCGGTTTATTGGAGCAACTTTATTCAATAATTACTGCTTTATTAAGCATTATAGAAAAAAATGATTCAGGACTTTTCGACTCAATTTTTAATCAGGAATAATGCTATTTGCTCCGTGGGCGCTTTTTCAGTTACACCCTGTATATATGTACATATATATATATATATATATACACAAGATGTCAGGAAATTTTTCACAGTCCTTATTGGGGAAGGGAGGAGCGATGAGTGTGTAGGCGCGCGAAGGTTCTTCCCCTCCCCAATCATCGCTTCGCCGCGCGCCGCCATTATGTTACAGTGAGATCGCCTTCACCACCATGCACTTCTAGCCACGCGCATTGGCCGATCTTCTTTAATTAATTTTTTGTTAATTATTGCAAATATCGCAAAACAGTAAACCTTCCTTCTTAATTTAAGCTAATCTACCTTCACACTTAGGGACTGCGAAAAATTTCCTGACACCCTGTATATATACAGCGTGAGGCAATAATTCTGTCCACCTCGAATATCTCCGCTACTTTTAGAGATATGAAAAAAATTGTAATTTCCAAAGTTGTATTACAGGGTGATTTTGAACAAGTGTTCGTCTTTAAAATATCAAATTCTTGAATGAATTCTAAGACGATTTTTCCTCTTGCAAAATTTTGCCCGGATCTGTTTTTAAACTATAAAGGAAAATAGTTTACTTATTACGGAACGAGTATAAGAGGTAGGCAGGGACGGCGCGATGCACCGTCCGATATAGGCGATTACGCAGGGCGCACGTCGCGATCAGCAGCTGATTGCTATACGCGATGAGTAGCAATCAGTGTGTGCGCGCGCGCGCGTGTGTGTGTGTGAATGTACATGCATATACACACATGCACGTTAATTCTCTCTCTCTCCCCCCCTCTCTCACTTATTATTTATTCTTACCTTGTGAATAGAGATTCATATGACGATAAATGATTGTTACACATATAACACATTGTTGATAACAATAAGACATTTCTTTTTCTCGTGTCATTTTCATAATTAATTTATAACGAGTGTGTGGTTAGTAATTGAGTGCGTTAATCGTTTATAAATCGTTAGTAATCGGTAGTAAATTTCTATCGATCGTGAATGATTAAGTGCGTAAGTAAATTCGTAAGTAAATACGATAAAAGAAAAGAAAAAACTTCGCTTTCGTCTAACACAGTGTGTCAGAGTGTATGTATGTGTATTAGGACAATGTCTCATTGTTATCAACAATGTGTTACATGTGTAACAATCATTTGTCCCTGCCTACATCTTATACTCGTTCCGTAATAAGTAAACTATTTTTCTTTATAGTTTAAAAAACTAAGTTCCGGGCAAAATTTTGCAAGAGGAAAAATTGTCTTAGAATTCATTCAAGAATTTGATATTTTAAAGATGAACGCTTGTTCAGAATCACCCTGTATATCAAAGGGGCCATAATGTAGTAAAAATATTTTTTTCAAAAAGTGCAGGCATCTCAGATATTTCAAGGTCACTTCTATTTTTTTAATGCTATACTTTTTTATCCTTAGTTCGATAACGTACTTTGAGACGATTTCGACGACCTGTAATTAAATATCATTCGGATGATATTCAGATGAGTTTAGAATAAATAATGGAGTAAAATAATATTTTTGATATTTTAGATTGTTATCTCATAAGAAGTGCTCGAAGTGACGTCCGTTTACATCGATATAATCAATTCCTGAAACACGTACACTTTTTAATACTTCCGGACTGATTTTCGCACATGCTGCAATAATTCGTTGCTTTATATTTTTGGCGTGGTTAGTCTTTTTTAGTACATGATGTTTTTTAGCGTTCCCCATAAAAATCAGTCCGAAAGTATTGGGAAGTATATGTGTTTCAGGAATTGAACGCTTGCAGCATTGCGGAGATATTTCATGTGGACAGAGTTAGGCCTCAATTTTTGTGTGTATATCATGTGACAATAATTAAAATCTTTACATAGGACGTACCATGTATGTGATACCCTTCAGTATGGGTCCCATAGGTTCCTCGTTCTCAAAAATCGGTGTTGAAATCACTGATTCAATTTATGTAGTTTGTTCGATGAGAATAATGACCAGGATGGGAGAAAAGGTGCTCGAAATTTTGGGAAACGACGATTTCGTTAAATGTTTGCATTCAGTGGGCGTTCCAAAACACAATTCAAAGAATAATATAAATTATTTATGGCCGTGCGATCCTGAGAGAACGATCATCCTTCATAAACCGACAAATAATGAGATTGTATCTTACGGAAGTGGTTATGGTGGAAATTCTTTATTGGGAAAGAAATGTCTCGCGCTACGAATTGGTTCGACGATAGCCAGGAAGGAGGGCTGGCTTGCTGAACATATGCTTGTATGTTCTTTTTTATCTTTTTATAAATATATAAATATATTATAGAGTGAATCAAAAAGTAAGATTTTTTATTATAATGATCACTTATATATAAATTGAATTTATTGTTAAAATATAAATTAATGATTATTTTTCTCATTATAATCTTGAAGAAGATTGATGCATTTATTTCACCTTCGTATAAGTTTGTAGATTTTCTCTCGATAAAAATCAGACTTGTAATGTTTAAATCATTTTTAAGTAACATTTTGTAGTATCTGAAAATCGTTTTCCTACAAAATGATTCTTCAGGTCTTCAGTGACCTAAAACAAATGATAATCGAAAGAAGTCAAATCTAAGTTGTAGGAAAGATGATCCATTATGTGGCAATCAAGGCTATGTTCCAAAATTCACTGCCAGCGCAGAAAATATATAATATACGTAACGTGAACTATAGATTTTCAGCGCTGGCAGTGAATTTTGGAACACGCCCCAAATTAAATAGTTTAAAAAAGTTCCTGAATTCGATATCGAATAAGGTCCAAATAAGGACATTATTGTGAAAAAAAATTCACAAATATAAGTCTGACCTTTTCTTTAATTGCTTTCCCTTGTGCAACAGTATAGAATACAATTTAAAAATTAAACACCAAGAGACAGATTTTTAACGAAAGAGGGAGTCTTCGAATTCATGCCAAAATGGAATAAATGCATCAATCTGTTTGAAAAGTTACTATATTGAAAAGTTATCATTTGTTTCTATTTTAACATAATAAGTTTAATTTACATAAATTGTAAATGATGTCAAAACATGAAATCTTTTACTTTTGAGATCCATCTTAATATAGAACAAAATACTGTTTACACGTTTCATTTCAGATATTGGGTATCACAAATCCTAAAGGCAAAAAACGATACATCGCCGCTGCTTTCCCGAGCGCATGCGGTAAAACGAATCTAGCCATGATGCAACCTACTCTACCAGGTTATAAGATCGAATGCGTAGGGGATGATATTGCATGGATGAAATTTGATAATGAAGGAAACTTACGTGCTATTAATCCAGAGAATGGATTTTTCGGAGTCGCTCCTGGTACAAGTTCGACTACGAATCCTAATGCGATGAAAACTATCTTCAAAAATACTATCTTTACCAATGTAGCATCTACTAGTGATGGAGGCGTATATTGGGAAGGAATGGAGAAGGAAATCGATGATAATATCAAGGTATATCACCGATATACCTTGTTGAATAATATAATTAGTAGAGTAATATAAATGATCGAGACAATACGTTACTGTTTTTTAAAAAATGTAAAATAACTTTTTATTTTATCGTAGGTGACGGATTGGAGAGGTAACAATTGGTTCAAAGGTTCCAAAGAACCAGCTGCTCATCCTAATTCAAGATTCTGCACTCCAGCTATACAATGTCCGATTATCGATTCTTTTTGGGAAGATCCAGCCGGTGTTCCAATCGATGCTATATTATTCGGGGGTCGAAGACCGGAAGGTATACCTTTGGTTTATCAAGCCAGAAGTTGGCAACACGGCGTTTTCATTGGTGCTGCAATGAGATCTGAGACTACAGCTGCTGCTGAACATAAGGTAACACACATCAATTTCTATAGACATTATGTAAATTTCAAAATACTAGGACTGTGAATTAATTTTGAGGGATTTTTTTGTAATCTTTGTGAAAAATTGTGTACATTATTATTTTTCAAAGTATTGTCCATCGCTAGCCACTACTTTTTCCCATCTTTCTGGCAGCATACGGATTCCGCGTCGAAAGAACAACTCATCTTTTGATGCTATCCACCAATCGATCCAATTTTTCGTATCTTTGTAAGATTGGAAGCGCTACTTAGCCAGGTCGTGTTCCATGGATCGGAACAAGTAGTAATCCGATGGAGCAATATCTGGTGAATATGGCGGGTGGGGTAAAACATCCCATTTCAGCGTTTCTAAGTATTTTTTGACTACATGACTACATGAGCAACATGTGATCGAGCGTTGTCATGTTGAAAAATTACTTTATCGTGCCTTTGCTCGAATTGCGGCCATTTTTTCTTCAATGCACGGCTCAAACGCATCAATTGTGTTTAGTAGCGTTCACCAGTGATAGTTTCATTCGGTTGAAGCAGCTCATAGTACACAACACCAAGCTGCTCCCACCAAATACAGAGCATGAGCTTCGAACCATGAATATTCGGCCTTGTCGTCGATGTTGATGCATGACCAGGCAAACCCCACGATTTTCTACGCTTAGAATTATCGTAGCGTATCCATTTTTCATTGCCAGTGATGATACGATGCAAAAAACCCTTTCTTTTTTGCCGTTGAAACAATTGTTCGTACGTGAAAAATAGCTGTTTAACATCTCTCGGCTTCAATTCGTATGGCATCCAATTTTCTTGCTTTTGAATCACATCGAGTGCATTTAAACGTTTGGAAACTGTTGTGCGATCAACATTCAACGATTCAGCAAGTTCATCTTGCGTTTGACATGAATCTTGGTCGAGTAATGCTTCCAATTCTTCATCTTCGAACTTTTTCGGTTGACTAGGGCGTTCTTTGTCAACTGTATCGAAATCACCACTTCTAAAACGTCAAAACCAATACTCACGCGTTTTTATCGATGGAGTATGTTCACCGTAAGTTTCCAACAGCACTCGATGACTTTCAGCAGCACTTTTCTTTGAATTAAACAGGAAAAGTAAACTTCCTGCAAATGGTGTTTTGTTGGCTCGTAATTCGACATCTTCGGAGCTGAGAAAAAATATGTTGTTTACACTTCAGCAAAATGACACATAATAAAAAGTAAAGCCTAATGACAGAGCTTTGACATGAATATAGTTAGTACAGAAATGTCCGATACGATATAGCATAAGTTACGCCATCTATTGTAAATCCCTCAAAATTAATTCACAGTCCTAGTACATTTAAAGATTAAGAAAGCTGAAAAGTTCCGGAAGACTAATTGAGATTTCAATTAAAACTATATAACGTATTTTACAGGATAAAGTAATCATGCACGATCCATTTGCTATGAGACCCTTTTTCGGTTATAATTTTGGATACTATCTCGCCCATTGGTTAGGCATGGTGCATGTGAAGAATGCCAAGTTACCAGCAATATTTCATGTAAATTGGTTTAGAAAAGATTCAGACGGAAAATTTTTATGGCCAGGATTTGGTGAAAACTCTCGCATTCTCGATTGGATCCTTCGAAGGATCGACGGCGAAGACATTGCTGAAGAATCAGCGATTGGCTTATTACCAAAACCAGGATCTATCAATTTAGATGGTCTCAACGATGTAAATATGGCGGAATTATTTAGACTTCCGAAAGATTTCTGGCAGAAAGAGGTTGAAGATTTGAAAGTATACTTTGACGCTCAAGTGGGAAAAGATTTACCTGACGCTGTAACAATAGAACTTACTCGTCTCTCTAATAACATTAATAATCTTTAATTTCCTAATTTTATAATTATATTTCGACTTATATAATTAAGTTTTTCAAGTATTTGAAATTTTAATATATTAAATTATATTTTAATATATAATTAAAATATAATATTTACATTATAATTGGATAGAAAAATTAATGAATTTAAAAAAATTTTTAATTTGTTTATTATAATAGTACAAATGTAAAAAATATAAAAAATTTTGCTTAATATAAAATATAATATAACAAAAAATGCAGAAAAAAATTAAGTAACGTTAACAATCTTGCATTAGAGAGATGAAGGCAATTGTTTATATTAAAATTAAAAAATAAAATAAAAATAAAAAAATCCAATGAAATCGTAAATGAATATCGTGAAGATATAACAAATATAATATATAACAAATCACATAAAAATATATAACAGTGATTTTGAACAAATCACAATCAAAAGAGATGTCTATAAAAATACAATTAATATAAACGTATAATTACAGAAAAAGAGATGTAACATACACACTCATACATTTCAAGAAAATCTACATATAGATTTCCCCGTGAAAATTTACTAGTGTTTCATTATGCAATTTTTTTAATTGTGTGTGCAATCTTAACGTCATGCTTAATAATGTCAATGAGAAATAAATTTTTGTTTCTAAACTTCGAATTTAAATACACGTTCCATGTTACATACAATAAGAAATACAATAAGACACATACAATAAGAAATATGGATAAAATTATTAAATAATCATGAAAATTAGTACACAGAAGAGACAACTTACTATAAGAGATTAGAATCTCAAACTTAGAGTGATATTGCAAAAAAGTCACTTACATGTGTTATGTACAGATACAGAAGATCACTTACAGAAAGTCACTTACATGTGTTATGTACAGATACAGAAGATATGTTTAATTACAATTAAAAATTAAAATTTTTATGTATAAAAGTCTAAATAAAAAACGTTATACATGTTATTTGAAATGAAGCTACTACCTGGTTTCGCAAATAATATCTATATGTATACTTTTATTTATTTGTCAATTTGTTTTTCATTCTGGTCTAATTATATTAATATTACTTATTGGCGAAGCCAGATATTAGATATTATTTATTTACAACCTAATCTGTCCTTATTCCAAATATTTATTCTATATTTTCCTTATTCCCTTATTAATATTTTATTTCTCTCTTATTAATATTTTATCTTAATCGACACATATATTAAATTACCACAAATCTTTTTTCAGTTTAAACATATATGGCATATTAATATTTTTAACATGGATGTATCACATATATATTATTATCTTTGTATCTCAATAAGATAATTATAATATATTAAAATATTTGTGAAACATTAGTTTTCGTTAAACAATATAATTTATGTTCTAAAAGTAATAGAAAAATTAAAAAATTTATTAAATAAAGAAAAAGAAAAAATTAACACATTAAATTAACTCTTCATATAATAAGAGTAGACTGTTGTTAAAAAAGCGAAATACTACATGTTCCTTACATTTAATATATATGTAATACATTTATAATTGTACATACAAATATGAATTGGAAAACTGTCTCATTCGTTACAACCCAGGTAGCAGAGTGACGTTAAATGACATCTTAATAACGTTTTAATGACGTCATTGTACGTCATTAAGACGTCTGGAGACGTCATCTTGCTACCTGGGAAGACTCATGCAAGATGTAAGTAGAATTTTTTTTTATATATATACTAAAGTCTTGTATACTTAAAATGTATTAGATTTATTGTCAGATAAAGTTAGATAAAATCAGATAAAAGTTTTTTTTATTATGTAAAGTCCTTCAAGGATGTTGTATTAAATTGTACAAAAATTGGAACATTTTTGGTAACAACAAATATATAATTTATTATATATTTTAGATTATACATAATTATACAAATAATTTATAATTTGTATTTTATACAATATTAAGAATAAAGACTAAAGTATGATTATCATTGTCTGTAACTTTACAATATAGCGATTTGATAGAACGCGCGTACATGCACATGTCAGAAATTATTTGACTATCTTTGCGTCTTGCTTGCCATCAACGTTTACGCGATCGGCGTTTTCGGTGATACCAGATTCGAGGCTGCGGGCGGGAAGACGCTCTGGATGTTTTGAAACATTATTCTATCTTTGTTCTACATTCCATGAGAATAAAGATAGAATGATGTTTCGAAGCATTCATAATGCGCTGCTCGCTACGCACAAGGAAAAAACCGTGTACGTGTGCACTCGGTTAACTTCGGACAATAGAAGGGCGCAGATAATAATTCACTGACTCTTTCTTTGTCTGCGCTCTTCTATTGTCCAAAGTTGACCCAGCGTACACGTATATGGCTCTTTCCTTGTGTGCGTAGCGGGCAGCGTCTTGAATCTGGCACTATCGGCGATCGGATTCACGATTATTCGTTGCCTGGAAGTACAGGAGGAAGGACAAGGAAGGACGGCGCCGAGTTTAGTGAGTATCATACATATAATTACCCATTATACATGTCATTTTAAATACATAAATGCTTATATACTTTATTAATATTGAATTGTTGCAGCATACATATAAATACAATGACGACGATGACGACAACGGCCCCGACGACTACGGTGGATACGGTGGCGACGACGGCGACGGCCGCGGCAGCTACGGTGTCCACGGTGGCGACGGCCACAGCAACGGATGGCCCCGATGACCACGGTGATGACGGTTCCGATTATTTCATAAATAATCAACCATGATTGGTCAATTTACCTACGTCTTATGCGGGATCTACAATGCGAGTCTCAGCATCGCAAAGACGGTCGTAATATTCCTTGTTTCCAATCGTAGTCGCAGTCGCTCGAGTTGGTTCAATTCCAATTCCAACGACGACGACCACAATATGTCGCTACGACGGACTAATAAGAAGTGAGCATTGTTTTTGCGAGAAAATAAAAGACTGCGACCTACTGAACGACTCTATGGCCGGTATTCATAGTCCGATCTTATATTTGAGATCGTTTTAAGTTCGAGCTACGCAGCTATTTGATTGGTTGAATGAGGTCTTAAGTCAACCTCGGACCAGACATAAGACGAGCTTAAATATAAGACTATGGGTGCTTTCCAGCTATGGTAACACAGTGATACATTGTGTGACACAGTGTTACACAGTGTCGACTTGTAGCTGGAACGCTTTTTAGCTATTTTATTTTGCCACTAGAGTGCAGGGCAGTCACTTTTAATAGTTGTCACTAGGTCTAAATTTTCAGAACGTTCCCACACAACATTATGTCGTCTTAAAGACGTCTAGATGTCTTTAAGTCGTCTTTTAGATGTCTTTTGGACGCAATATCACGCAATACCATTCTTAAAAAAATTAATGATACCAAATATGAAATGTTATGTTGGCACTCACTGGGGTGCTACAAAACGACGACACAGGCGAACACAGCATTTTTGCTGTGTACGATTGTGTCGACTTGTGTCGTAGTTGGAAAGCACCTGTGTCGACACTGTAGCGACACGGTGTCGCCTGTGTTGCTTGCTGGAAAGCACCCTATGAATACCGGCCTATGACTCGCATTGTAGACCCCGCATCACGACTTGCGACTTTACGATACAACCAATGTAGATCCGGCTTAAAACCTCATTCAACCAATTAAATGACTGCGTAGCATTTCAAGCTCGAACTTAAGACGATCTCAAATATAAGATCGGACTATTATAAATACCGGCCTGGGGCCAGTGTTCCGATTAGGGATTCCGTGCGCGCGCATATGCGGTTCTGCGCATGCGCGACTTTTGAAATTACATTGTATACTGCGCGACAACGATTCATTCCTTGGCCCCTCTCTCGCGGGGCAAGGGGAGCGTAGAAGTGACCAATCAGCTGACAGCGTGACAGTGGCTGATTGGTTAGAGGCTACGCTCCCCTTGCCCTGCGAGAGAGAGACCAAGGAACGAATCGTTGTCGTGGAGTGTACTTTTACGGTCGCGCAAGTGTAGAGCCGCACATGCGCGCGCACGGAATCCTTAATCGGAACACTGCCTGGGGCCCTATTTTTGAAATCGTGCGAAAAATTATCGTATGCGAAAGTGACGCTGCGCGATCTTTGATTGGTGTATATTTTTAGATTTAAGAATATACACCAATCAAAAATCGCGCAGCGTTACTTTCGCATACGATAATTTTTCGCACAATTTCAAGAATAGGACCCCTGGGCCTGTTCTTTTTAGTTGCACTGCTGCACTAGTGCAATTAGTTAGAGTGAAAGAAAGTATGTTGGTATCTTTCTAACTTATTGCACTAGTGCAGCAGTGCAGCTAAAAAGAACAGGCCCACTGCTATGGTAGGAACTCAGTGCAGCAATCAAGAACAAACCTTACGTGATTTGGCGGCAATTGCCGGCGACATAATCTCAGCATAGAAAAAATATTGTTTTAAATTGCTTCTTAATTGTTTGGAACAAATTAATTCATAAATATGGGTATTACCGGTTTGCTACCATTCTTAGAAAAGTCTTCTAAGAGGACAAATATTAAAGAATTTTCCGGTAGTGTTGTCGCGATTGATTCATATTGTTGGTTACACAAAGGTGTATTCTCTTGTGCTGAAAAATTGATGATGGGACAGACAACAAATGCGTAAGAATGCAATTATTATATTATATACATATTGACACTCATTTAGAATATCAAAGATTTATATATTTTTTTATGTCATAGATATGTTCTGTATTGTATGAAGTATATAGACATGCTTCTAAAGTATAAAATAAAACCAATTTTGGTATTTGACGGTCGACGGTTGCCTGCTAAGGAACACACGGAAATTAAAAGACGACAGTATGTTAGAATCATTTAAATATTACTAATATTATTAAGTAATATTAAGGAATGTTTATAAATTAGATTTATACTAAAATTGCTTTAAATTTAATCAATTGACATTATTTTATGATTATTGAACTATCAATAAATAATAATTTATATTACATTATTTATTAGGACCAGACAAATAAATCGTCAAAAAGCAATCGAATTAATACAAATGGGTCAAGTTGCGGAGGGAAGAAATTTATTGAAACGAGCTATAGATATTACTCATGAAATAGCATTAGAATTAATTAAACATTGCCAAAATGAGAATATTGACTGCATTATAGCTCCTTATGAAGCAGATGCACAATTAGCATATTTAAATATTAGCAATATAGCTGACGTTGTTATCACAGAGGATAGTGACTTGACATTATTTGGATGTAAGAAAGTTAGTATATTTTTTCATATGTATATTTCATATATATTTATATGTGTGTGTGTGTATTTATAATTTCAAATTTATTTTTTGTTTATAACTATAATGATATGCATATAAAAATATATTCAAATATATAATAAATTTCATTATTTTTGAAATATGATATTCATGATAATATTTTATTAATTTTTAATGACAGAGTTTTTGACCAACTTACAATTGTATTTTGTTCAAATAGAATAATACATATATACAAAATAATGCACTGAAACATATATTTTAATATTATATATCTGTAATTAAATTTTGTCCATTTAAAGTCCATTTAAGATTGTTTGAAGAATGTGATTTTATTAATATCATTTAGCTTCCTAAAGTTATGTAAACTCGTTTTTTTAAACTCATTACTTAACTAGATATATTAAGAAATTTCTACTAATAAAAATTTCACTTTAAATTTGTCAAAGTATCTATTATTGAAATTAAAATCGATAACTATGAGATATTTTGTGTAATAATTTAATATAAGTATAGTTATGTATAATACTGTGAAACATAATGTAAATAATACTTATAATCTTTATAGATAAAAAAACTTCTATCAATATTTTTATTATTAAAAAATTATCAATTTTTCTTAAAAAATTTTTTAAATAACACAAATGATAACAGACATATAAATAATTGAAAAAATTTAGAAATATAAATCACTTATTTGTTATTAATAAATAATTTTATATCTTGTTTTATTGTAGATATTTTTCAAAATGGATTTTAATGGAAATGGAGTTTTAATTGAGCAAGACCGATTACATTTAGCAATGAATATGCGACCTGAAGAGTTTGATATGAATAAGTTCCGTTACATTTGTATTTTGTCTGGTTGTGATTATCTCCCTTCACTTCCTGGTATCGGATTGGCAAAGGCGCGAAAATTTATTTCAAGAAATACAGATCATAATATACATAGAGTTAGTTGATATACTATTTTCAAATTCTCTGATATAAGATAAAGAAAATTTAACAAAAATCTTATACATATATTTTTGTAATAACACAGAAAGCTATGCTTGTATACCTTCTCTTTTTCCTAACTTTAATGTTTATATTTTTCAAGGCGTTGACACGTATAGGATCAGTACTCAATATGAAATCGTTAGTTGTAACACAGGAATATAGAGATGCGTTTATATTAGCAGACATAACATTCAAACATCAATTAGTGTTCTGCCCATTACAAAGAAAGCAAGTGAGATTAAGTCCACCCACAACTGACATTACCGAGGATCAATTACAATATGCTGGTAAAGAATTAGATCCGGACCTTGCTTTCCAACTAGCCCTCGGCAATTGCGATCCGTCTACTTTAAAAATAGTTCACAATTTTAATCCAGATAAAATTGTAAGTTGTTATATTAGTTATTAAATTACATTTTATTTGCCTTGAAAATAATATGATATGCAATTGAATTGAAAATGTTTTATATCAATTTGTATTATAAATTATAGGAGCGCAAAAGGAAACGAGACGTGGAAGTAGGACAAACATTGACATTGATTTACATTAGCATTTGGTCAACCAAATATAAATTAAAAACAAAAAATCATATCTTATTTTCTAAAAATGCGATAAATTCATCAAGTACTGCTAAAAAAGAGCTGATTATGCAAAGAAATGTTGTAAATGATGAAAACACTCCATCAGAGTTGCACAATAATCCGACTATACCATGCAATAAATTTTCAGAATGTCAGGATTCAGATGAAAATACTATTTTGGATATGTATAATACTAGTCAAGATGCTAAATTAATTTCTAGCTCTGAAGAGAAAGTAGAAGAATATTTATACTTAGCAGGAAATAATACGTCACCAGAATTATTTAAATTCAGAAATCCATTTGTTAAACGAGTATCCGATCTCACAACCTCGCCGAGTGTTTTGTTCAATGGGAATAGTCGAAGAAAAGGAAAAAATTTAATGCGTATAAGACGAACTATCATAGATGAAAATATAGTAGAAAGCAAATATTTCTCAAAACAAGATGATGAAAAGATCAATGTACTTGATTTGAAGAATACGAGAATTGAAGGTGTCGATTTGAAAAATACAAAATGTAATATAATTCCAGAAACAAGTGATAGTATATGTGATATCAGAGCAAATCATAAACCATTAGAAACATTATCTGTAGTAAACCACCTAGAAAATATAAACTCGGATAAAGAGTTTGATGATGCACTCTTATTAGGGCAAAATGAATATTTGACTAACACTTGTGAAGATGTTTCTAAAAAATCATGTAACTACAGCTTAACTGAAGTATCACATTCTACAATTGATAAAGATTACATTTTAGATAAATGTTTATCATTGAGTTCTAATATGGAAGTCGCTAATGATTCAATTAATTATGAAAATAGTTTGCAAAATAATTTATCAGAATGCTCAAGTATTAAAGATCAACAAATTTCCTTACATAAGAAAAAAATTTTCAAAAAACGAAGTTCAATAAATCTGGTAAATATATATTTATATAAAAAGTTTCACTGAAATCCATAGAAAAGACAGTTTTAATTAATTTTTACTTTAATTTAAAATTTTTTTTGGCAGGTAAAAGGAGTTAATTCAACAACGAAAAGAAAACAATTGCATCAAAGTAAACAATTATCATTAGTTGCAAGACAGCAAAGTTTATTGAGTATGTATGGCTTCCAAAAAAAGGTAAATATAAAAATAATTTTTTTTTAATTTTGCATGTATTATATACAGGGTGGCCCATTTTAATTTCCCCAGCCAAATATTTCGGAAAATAATGAAAAATCAAAAAAATGTTTCAGACAAAAGTTGTATAAGTTTCTAGGGGGACATAAGATGGTATCATTGGTTTGACCTTGAAGAGTTATTTGAAGGTCACATGAAGGTCACCTTCAATTTCTTAAATGGAACCTACATTTTCTCATTACATATTCTTGTAGCTTATCTCGAGAGCTTTCCAAAACACTATAATAAAATATTTTTTTATTGAGTACTTTTCGAGTTGAGGCTTGAAATCATTTCTTAATTTAACATAAACCGTAATATAGCTAGTAAAATATTCATTTTTCGATTATCTTGCTTTAATACTTTTATGTACAAAATAATGAGAGAAATCAATTGGTGTAAAAAAAAACACATAGTTGTTTCAAAAGAAAAAATATGTAATTGTTAATTACTATTTTTTTTTAAACTATATTTTCTTTAGACCAATTGGTTTCTCTCATTATTTTGTATATAAAAGTATTAAGGTTAAGATAATAAAAAAATGAATATTTTGCTAGATATTTTATGGTTTATGTAAAATTAAGAAATGATTTCAAGCCTCATAACTCGAAAAGTATTTCATGGAAAAATAATTTATTATAGTGTTTTGGAAAGCTCTCGAGATAAGTTATAAGAATATGCAATAAAATGTAGGGGGTTCCATTTAAAAAAATAAGGTTGACCTTGAAATGACCTTGAAGGACATGGTCAAGGTCAAAGTCAAGGTCATTATCTTACTCCCCACTTGAAACCATACAACTTTGCTATTGGATATTTTCTCCAAAATGCATTCTAACTGAAGATATTAGGGGGGTCCGATACTTTTCGATGACTCTGTATATATATGTATATATTAGTTCGTACATACACACACACACACACACATAATTCATGCTAAATTAAAAAAAAAAAAAATATATATATATATAATGAAAGATAGAATATGGAATTTTCTTTGCAGAGGGATTCATGAACACTGACTTAAAAAATTTTAAACATTCATTTTGAAAAAATCTAGATGTATTATTTTTGCAAGTATCTCAATAGATATTATATTCTTCGAATGTTTCAAAATATTGTAAATAAAATTCGATTATAATTAACGAAATGTAACAACTAATATGATATTAATATAAACACATAAATAATATTTAGTTAAGATGGAAATCGCGTGTAAATCAATATAACAGAAATATGCGAATTCTATCTTGTTTATTTATCTGTACTGCCATATAGATGCTGCCATATACAAGAATTAACTAAAAAACAACACTAGTAATATACAATATATCTTTAAGAAATGTTTCAATATTTTATCTCTTACTTTACATTGTAAAATTCTTTTTCAATAATTTGTAATGAAATTCCTTTAGAATGATTCTTAAATATGACTATGTAATATGATTCACAAGACAAAATTATCCTTTCAGACTTTGCTTTATATGTATGATTGCTATATGTATGATTTCTTGTGAGAAAGAAAAGTTTAATTTATATATAGAATTGAACATAAGAATTTATATAATAATGATTTGATTATAAAATTGAATATGCATTGTCAAGAATTATAATTTTATATATAAGAAGTCTTTTATGAGCAAAACAATTTCACTCAGAGAATATTTTAGAGCTCTTAGTTTTTAATTGTGAAATCTCAAATTATATACTAATTAATTAGAACTTATTACAAATATGTTTATGATAGTAACTTGAATATCAGACAAATATTTTACCAAGATTATTAGCATTATATGATTTAACATTCTTTATAAAAAAATAGGTATTTTGTAATTTTTGTTAAATTTTTCACTTTAAATTAAGCAGAATAAATTATACAAAATTATAACCATTTGCTTTATTATGTTTATCTCTTAATTAACTTAGAATTAATTATTTAGTAAAAATTCATATATAACTAAAGATGATCATCTTTTCTGAAGACTGATAAAAATTATATATTATTTATTATGTTAATCGTATATTGCTTATTATGTTAATGATAAAATACAATAAAAATTGATAATTAAACCTTTGTACTTTCTGATTCTTCCCATGGTCTTGATATTCGGATGTTCTGCCAATTGTCTAGGTCTACCTAAAGAAAAAATATATAATGTGTTAAAACAAATTGCAGTAGGATTTTTTTTGGAATATAAAAACTATAATTCTGTATAGGAAAATATATATAATGCCAAATAAATTAAATATTAAATTATTTAGTATACTTAAACAGCATATTTAACAATATTTCTTCATGAATATGTCATGATTAAAGATATTTGAAATGAGAATATATAAATTTTTAGAATAGAATATTGATATGGAGTAATATTCTCCTCTATAAACTTCTATTTAAAGTTTATATTCTTCATAATTATTTTCTCTTCTCTCTTAAAATACATATTTAGAAACATTTTATCTTAATCAAATAAAATTAGAAGAATCTTATTTTTTACATATATTAAGTTATATTTTCAGAAAGCTTGCAACATTAGAGTTATTAATCTGTATTACTATACTGGCATATACTTTTTGTAATTTCTCATATTCTTTTTCTAAGGTGATTTCTTCTAATGGCCTTGTCTGGATTCCTTCCTTCTCCAATTCGTCCCGTATTGAAGGAACTTCAGTTGTTCTTTTATATCTATATCTGAATGTAAAAATTCACTTAATATCAAAAAATTCAGGTAAAAAAGTTTGGTAAAAATAACTAATTACCGTAATTCCGTAAATTCTCGAAGGCCAAATGATCCACCAAGTATAAAAATCATAAATGGTACACCATACTGCCAAAGTCTAGACATCACTTATCAAATGTATTTGATGTTAAGGTTATTATAGGTTTGTTCGCATCGCATTCCCCAACATACTCCTACTCACTCCAATACGTTCCAATACGTCGCGTCACCGGAACTAATATGGCGACTAGGTGTTCGCGTCGCGATAGAACATACTTTAAGGTGCAATTTCATTGACGCTACTTTTTAGTGTCAATGAAAAGGCCGCTTAAAGGTGCAATTTCATTGACGCTAAAAAGTAGCTATAAAAAGGCTTAAGATGCGGCCTCATTGACGCTAAAAAGTAGCGTCAACCATTGGTTGAACAAGGAGGTAAGTATAGTTGCTTCATTGTTCAACCAATGGTTGACGCTACTTTTTAGCGTCAATGAGGCCGCATCTTTATGGTGCGGTCCCATGATACGGAACGTATGCGCAATGCGGAATTGGCGGAACGAAGTTCGTCCAATCACAGACATTCCGTCAATTGCGTTCCGTTGAAATATATTTTCTTATGTCCCATGGAGCGGAAAACGCGGAAACGCAATTGGTGTTGGCCAATCACAAGATTCTTTCCCATAGATTTTTTTGTTGTCTATATCGGAACAGCGTACATTATTGGCTCGCGCAAATTACGCTTCCGTATTTTCCGCTGCATGGGACATATGAAATACAAATTTATGCGGATCGGATTCACACATATATGTCAAAAAATTCATGAATTTCATATATAACTTTCAAAACTGACAACAACTTAATATTGAATATGGATTCTGAAAAATTGTTTATTATTATTTGTGGATTGTTAAGTAAATTAAAACAAAGTTGGTGTATATTTAAAAAGAATGAATTACGCCGTAAGATTATAAAATTATATTCATTGTATATAATTGTAAAAAAAAATGAAAATATTAAAAAATGACGAAAATATTGGATGCGACCTATATTCAGCTTAGAAAGAAGATTCCAACAAGGAGCAAGTGAGAATCTTGTAAAGGAAATGCTGATCGAAGACACAGAAAAATATATGGATTATTTTAGAATGGCACCTCAATTATTTGACGCATTATTAGCATTAGTTGGACCATTCCTTGTTACACTCTTATTTAAAATATTTTTTAATAATATTCTTACGGATATCTGCTGTTTCGACATTTTTCATCATACATACAATTTCGAAGTTCCGCACAAAATGTGTATAAAATAGAAACTTGCGGATAGAAATCGGCGGAACAGACGTAAAACAGGTTAAACCAATCACGAGCGTTCCGCCAATTCCGCATTGCGTATACGTTCTGTATCATGGGACCGCACCATTAATGGTACGGTCCCATGATACGGAACGTATACGCAATGCGGAATTGGCGGAACGCTCGATTGGTTTAACTTGTTTTATGTCTGTTCCGCCGATTTCTATCCGCAAGTTTCTATTTTATACACATTTTGTGCGGAACTTCGAAATTGTATGTATGATGAAAAATGTCGAAACAGCAGATATCCGTAAGAATATTATTAAAAAATATTTTAAATAAGAGTGTAACAAGGAATGGTCCAACTAATGCTAATAATGCGTCAAATAATTGAGGTGCCATTCTAAAATAATCCATATATTTTTCTGTGTCTTCGATCAGCATTTCCTTTACAAGATTCTCACTTGCTCCTTGTTGAAATCTTCTTTCTAAGCTGAATATAGGTCGCATCCAATATTTTCGTCGTTTTTTAATATTTTCATTTCTTTTTACAATTATATACAATGAATATAATTTTATAATCTTACGGCGTAATTCATTCTTTTTAAATATATACCAACTTTGTTTTAATTTACTTAACAATCCACAAATAATAATAAACAATTTTTCAGAATTCATATTCAATATTAAGTTGTTGTCAGTTTTGAAAGTTATATATGAAATTCATGAATTTTTTGACATATATGTGTGAATCCGATCCGCATAAATTTGTATTTCATATGTCCCATGCAGCGGAAAATACGGAAGCGTAATTTGCGCGAGCCAATAATGTACGCTGTTCCGATATAGACAACAAAAAAATCTATGGGAAAGAATCTTGTGATTGGCCAACACCAATTGCGCTTCCGCGTTTTCCGCTCCATGGGACATAAGAAAATATATTTCAACGGAACGCAATTGACGGAATGTCTGTGATTGGACGAACTTCGTTCTGCCAATTCCGCATTGCGCATACGTTCCGTATCATGGGACCGCACCATAAAGGCCTATCCAGACAAACTTGCATAAGTGCATATGCATAACATAAGATCACATGGACCAATGAGCATCGAGTATTAAGTCGCCATATTGACTTATATAACATAATACTCGATGCTCATTGGTCCATGTGGTCTTATGTTATGCATATGCACCTATGCAAGTTTGTCTGGATAGGCCCTAAGACATATCAGTAAGGTTTCGACCAATCGCGTTCCTCAATTTGGTTACGGCCAAATTAAGCAACGCGATTGGTCGAAACCAGTGAACTCTATACTATACTGGAATGTGCACTGCCTTTGTTAACGCCGGGGACATCGAAAGAAAAGGACAGGTTGCTTTGGAACAGTTTGGAATGATTTCTGTCTCCGTCTAGTAAATTTTAATTGGTCGATCATTTTATATGATTGACCAATCAAAATTTCGTTACAAACATCAGTCTTAACATTAGTGTCTCTATTTAGTTTACCATACATGTACGCACATGTATACTTCTTTCAACACTGATCATCATTCAATTCAACACATATGCACTGAACGTAGCCAATGTTTTCAGCTTGAAGAGTACGATAGAAAAGAACAGGTATCGTTCCACTTTTCCCTTTGGCTGATGGCAGAGAACTAGATGTCTGTCGTAGTCGTGGACGTAAAGTAAGGCAGAGAAAAACGTATGTCGTACAAGGCCATTGTGACAATGGCCTTGTACAACATACGTTTTTCTCTGTCTTACTTTACGTCCACGACTACGACAGACGTAAGCGCTCACGTCTAGTTCTCTGCCATCAACCTTTCGCTCGTCCCGTTTTCTCCTACGACAGTGCACATTCCAGTATAGTATATAGTGCGTTCGAAAATATGTTTGGTTGATGTTGGGAAAAAAGATAAAGTTGGCAGTATTAAAAACTCCCAGTGCTGCGTTTCATTTTTCCCACTGGGATCACTAGAATTAAAAAAATTTGCTACTTGAGATATTAAGGCCCGGTTTCACAACTCGAGTTAATCCGAGTTTAATACGTTAAACTGGGTCCTGATTGGTCCAACTTTCACTACTTAAACTCGGATTAACTGGATTATGGAACTGGGCCTAATAGAGGTAAATAAGTAGTTAAATATATTTTATAATTATATGTTTAATAACATCACATATATTATTATTAATACGAACGTGTGTTTTATATTAATAATAATTATAATAAAGTGACAATTTACCTAAAATGTGATTTAAATTCAATATTTGTATATCTGGTAATAACATTTTCCAAATAATCTGTTATGTTTGGTACTATTTTCTTTTCACCTCTATTGTTATTACCTCTATTTTCGAATAAAATATTTTGTAATTCTTCATTATTATCATCTGAAGAAGAACTACTCGAAGATTCAAAAATGATGTTTTTGAGTAAAATATATTGTTCCATAATAATAATTAGTTCCATAATAATAATAATTAGTGTAATTGCAATACTTTCATATATTGTATGTACACTGCGCGACAACGATTCGTTCCGTGGTCCCTCTCGCGAGGCAAGGGGAACGTAGCTTCTAACCAATCAGCTATTGCCACGCTGCCAGCTGATTGGTCACTTCTACGCTCCCTTTGCCCCGCGAGAGAGGGGCCACGGAACGAATCGTTGTCGCGCAGTGTACATACGGTACAATATAATCATAATGATCCCAGTGGGAGAAACGAAACGTAGCACTGGGAGTTTTCAATACTGCCAACTTTATCTTTTATCCTAACACTGACCAAACATATTTTCGAACGCACTACATATGTGGAAGATTTGCCCGATTAGATACAGTACGATTAGACACAGCCAATCATATCGATGTCTAGGGTAACCAGCACGATCAAGCACGATTAGCCAATCAAAGCCAGTTGTGTCCAATTGTACTGTGTCTAATCGGAGGTGTCTCGAAGATTTGGCGGACTCGAGAAAAATTATTTGGCATACAGACATATAGTTGAGTGAGATATAGTTTATTAAAAGTTTTGTGATATTTAATAAATAATCGTGAGTTATTCGTATAGTATATGATAGAAATGTGTACTATTGATCGCCCGAAACAATTTTCTAAGAGAAAATGTTTTCGAGCGACCAGTGGCATACCTTTTGTCTGTATTAGATACTTTATTGAGGCCTTGTTCGCCGCGCATGCGCGAAAAACCTGACCTATCTAACAACTGATTGGAGTGAGTAGGAGTATGTAAAGTCATTAGATTAACAAAGTACCTCAATTTTGATCTCAATAAGATAAGCTAGAGCAAAAATGGCGTCCGATAGTGCAGATAGTGCACACTTTGTGTAGCTATCTATACTAAGTGCAATTTTTTTAACCTTGATCCTGGTCTGTCCTGTGTCCTGTTGTGTGTGAGGTGAGGAAATTCCTTCTGTTGCGCAGAAAAAGAAGAAAATATCAAAAATGCCAGGTTGTTGCGTGGAGAAATGCAATAATCACAGCCTATATCTATACTATCGGACGCCATTTTTGCTCGAGCTTATCTTATTGAGATCAAAATTGCGGTACTTTGTTAATCTAGTGACTTTAGGAGTATGTTGGGGCATGCGACGCGAACAAACCTTATATGTCGATGGTCAATGCGCTCATATGATGCGCTGTAAAGCCTGGAGCACATAAAAAAACTTAGACAGTAAACAACGACAGTAAACAATAAGGCAACCACTGCCTTATTGCTCGACTGTGATTGGTCGATTCGTTTAAGTCTTAAGTTTACTGTCTAAGTTTTTTATGTGCTCCAGGCTAACCCGTGCGATCCATGCATGAAACGGAACGCATTCAATTTGGAACACAGCCAAATAAATCTCTGAATTATCGACAACTTCAACAATATATTACAATTTTATAGTTTCAAAAATGTATCAAATTTGCATAATTAT